TATATGGTTAATACAGTTAATATGGTGAAGTAAAATGATGGATGACCGCTTGCTTACAACTGATTGAGTTAACTCGTTTAACAATATAAAATAAGTATTTGTGGATCAAAAATCATCTTAACGTCATAATTTCAATGTACCTAATTATGGAATTTCAGAAATGCAGCTGTAAAGTAATAAGAAGTAGTAAGTAATGACTCATAAGAAATATGCAAATGCTATAAAATCCCAACCCTGCTTATGACTATGTAACATGACTTATAAGTTATAACAAATTAACTGCTTAGTGTAAAGTGTAAACACTAAATAGTAGATCACCTAATATTATAATGATAAATGGTAATCTATGATCAAAATAAAGAATTACTCCGATAAGTGATTACTCCGTAATGTTATCAATACATACAGACAAAAAAACTATTGAACAGTGTTACCCTAGAATAGATTGAAACCAAGTTTTATTAAAAACCTTAACAATTTATTAATGCTTAGTATTTATTCAAAGTATTAAACTCGCCATTATTGAGTTTCAAAACCATTAATAAACCTTTATTAAAAAATGTAGGCTCAATTTATTTTGAATGGTGTTACAACAATAAAATATGTTTACAGTAAAAATATATCCATCAAATTATCTCCAATATGAAATAATATATCCGTCAAATTATTTTCGATATAAAAAGTATAAAAGCAGGTTTTTATTGTCACCTAACCTTGTATAGTCACTAGTTTTTATTATGTTTTTTAAAATAAAATAAAATAAATAAATAAAAGTGTCAATAAGTTATAAAATAAAAATAACAACATGATAATATGTAAACCAACATTTAATTTTAGTATAATTGGATTTAGTTTATTGAATGGAATTTTTTATTAACATGGTGATGATCAGGTCAGTTGAATTCGGTGTGATATGAACCGTAGACATTTCTAACTCTCATCATTCAACAACGTCCATAATTCACTACCTATGTAAAAAGTAAAAACATGCACATGCATATAATTCCGGGCTCAACTAATAACTATAATTATATGGCACATTATGTAATAGTCACTAAAAACAATTTGAATTGTATGTACCTTCAAACCGTACAGCGGTTAGGTTAAGTTCAAACGTCACCACGGACATATGGACTTCAATGAATACAGACTCGTATATAACTATAATTGTTCATTTCCTCATCCAAACGCAGTTAAAAACTTTGGTTCTATGAACCAAAAAAATGGAATGCAGCCATACTGCTGTTAATATTTGTGATCATATGACAGAGGAATTGAACAAATGGAATATTTTTAATAAAGTTGTTGCTGTGGTAACCGATGGCGGGGCGAATATTAAAGCTGCAGTTAGGGTTATGAATTTGAGTCATGTGCCTTGTACTGCACATAAACTCAACTTGATCGTTCAACATTCTCTACTGTTGTCTGGCAAAGAAGAGACTAGACCTGACACCAATACGAATGAAAGTGACTTAAAAAATCTACTAAAGAAGTGTCGAGCTATTGTTGGATTTTTTAAGAGGAGTGAAGTTGCTAACAGAATGCTGACGGATAAGCAAAAACAGCATGGTTTTGAAGCAGGATATTCATACTCGGTGGAATAGCAATTTTTTCATGTTAGAAAGGCTTATAAAGCTAAAAGAGCCTATAACCATTGTAATGATAACATTAAAAGATGCTCCATGTCATTTAAATTCTGACGAATGGAGTATAATTGAAGATTTAGTACCATTATTAAGACCATTCGATAAAGTAACTGTTGAGCTCTCTATTGAACAATATCCTACCATTTCAACAGTTATTCCATTAGTAAGAGGTAATTACTAATTAGTTTGATGTTTCTGTGTACAATTTAATTTTTATATTTTATATGAAATATTATTTATTATTCAAAGGTTTACAAATGGTATTGGGATCAAAAAATACAACAACGCTACTGAGAAATTTTATAAAACAGAGACTGATAGACAAAACTGCCAAGCGTTTTGAAAGTATAGAAAACAAGGATTGACACAAACCACATTTTTCTAAAGCCACATTATTGGACCCTAGGTGTAAGAAAATTGCCTTTGGATTGGAACAGAATGCCAATGATACAGAAGAAGTTTTGATTACTGAAACAGCCGCTTTGATTGGGAATGTATCATACACTGGTAAATATTAAATTAAAATTATTTGAAATAAAATCTATAAGGTAAAATTACTAATTATTAATTTACATTATTTTGGTATAACATTATGGAAATATAAATAGCTCATAAAATGGTAATATATACCAAATGTTTCATCAATAATAAATTTCAATAAAAATATTATAAGTCTAAAATGTGATTTCATTGAATCTTTTATTAGAAAAAATGCAATTCAAATTTTTTTAACAATTATACTAAATAATCATATTATAATTACTTACTCACAGAACGAGCTAAAAGGAATATTATTTATAATTTAAAAATGAAGAAATACATTTAATTTAATTTTGTTATAGTTTAAACTTTAAAGTTGATATATATTTATTTATTTATTTTGCAGAAACAATATTCAACTGGTTTGAAGATTCAACACATTTTACCTCTGGAAGGTCATAATATAAGATTAGGTCCTTGGTTTTAATATTTATTTAAAAACATGTCTGGAACAAGGTTGTAAGTATTCATCTTGACCCATAAATTTGCAGTTTTTAGATATTTAATACATATATATTTATAGCTGAGATAAGGTAAGTATGAAACATAAAGTGGACAACGACAGCCTGCTTGCTGCACACACTGCATACATTTCAACTTGTACCAATGTTGTAGCTAATTTGAATCCTATGAAATTTTGATTACATATTAATAAAAAGTAAAAAAAATAAATATTTTGTTTCTTTCCTTTAGTTAAAGCTGGCTTGGATAAAATGTATACTTGTATAGTGTTTAAGTATATTATCCACTATCTTTCTATTACAAATCATACACAGCGAAAGTGTATTAACTCAATTAAATCCTCATATTTTACCAATCACAATGTTACCTAAAAAATACCAACCCTCAATTTTCTTTTCACAAGTCATAATACGATTCTATACAATGCTTAGTAATATTTAAAATAATCTATTCGATCGAAAAAACACTCGATAGTTTCAAAAACAATCGATGAATAATAATATATATTCAATCCATAGACCTTATACTCATAGACGGAGCATGATCGTAGTTCCCGCGGCAAATATAGGGTGCGCTGCCCATTTGTGGAACTTCTGCGCATGCGCGAAAACACAACCAGGTTGTGTTACAACAGTAAAATTTATCGTAATATGGTATGCATCCTCACTAGTGATGTGCCTTGGGAATATTCCCAAAAGAAAGAAATATATTATTGGGAATTTATCGGGAATATTTCCACAACATATTTTTCTTCCCAAAACTGGGAATTTTTTTTTTTTGCGTTCTATTGGTCAACACTGTAAAATTTCACTAGATTACATAATTCAATCTATCTTAAACCGTGATAACTGATAAGTGATGACTATGAAACTTTTTTATATATATTGATACTTATTTATAATGTTTTATATAATTTTCAGTTATAAAGTTTTTTTATTAAAAATATGGACTGCATATTTGTTAAGTTTTGTACTATTATTAATTTGATACTTATTTATAATGTTTTATATAATTTTCAGTTATAAAGTTTTTTGTTGAAAATTTGAGTATATATATATATTTATTTTAATTTTGTATTATTATTATTTATACAAGTTTTAGACTTCTAGTCAATTATATGACTGATATGAAAGAATTATCATAGCATTGGAAATTTGATACTTTTTTATAATGTTTCTCCTAAAAACTAAATGACTTATTAGATATTTTTTTCAATACCTAGCAACTTCTTAATAGAAGATACCTATTACCTACTTCAAAGGTCAAAGACAAAAATCATAGGTACTATCATAATTCATAATAATAATAATCATAAAATAAGGATACCTAATTATATATTTTTTTTAAAATTATATTAAGGCTTCAAAATCTGAGATCATTAGGTCATTTTAGGCCACACAATACCAAAATTATATTTGGTTTGTGTTTGGATTGGTAAAAGTTTAATTTTTTCTTGCCTGCTAGAATTTTCAAATTTATAGTAAAAATTCCCATTATTTGGGAATTTATTAAAAATTCCGGAAATATTCCCAGGGAATATTTCCTCACTTTTAAATTCCGGGAATTTACCCATCACTAATCCTCACAGAATATTTTATTAATAGACTTCAATCTTATTTTAAGTTTGTGTAATAGCTAAAAAATAATAATTATGCCTAGAATATGTATTGTTTGTAAAAAATATTATATTAAGGGATCAGAGAAATCATTTCATTCGTAAGTACAATAATTTATATTAGAACATTAATATGTTATTCAATTTGCATTAAATATTTGTTGTTATATTATTTTAGTTTTCCTAAAAATAAAGATTGTCAGCAACTGTGGTTAAAAGTGTGTAATATAAAATGGTACTCGCCATCCTACAAGATATGCCAAGATCATTTTTTGCCAGAAAATTATCTACCAAGTGGATATCTGAAAAATAATGCTGTTCCCTTTCTAACATCTACAAGACGTACATCTATGCAAAACTTTATTTATCATCAAACATTATTTTGATACATAAGTAATATAACAGTCTAAATGTATTATTATTATTTCATCTAAGATTATGAACCTCTAGACTATCAGGGAAAATCTAGCTCTCAAAGTCCTATGAAACGTAAAGTGCTAAATGCAAATTCTATTGGACTTTTATCGCCAAGTCATTTTAGAACTCCAAGAAAAGCACGGAGGCATTTGGACATGGTGAAAAAGATATCGTTACACTAATGACAATACCTCGTAACTCAATTTTTGTCGATATCGACTTTTTGGTATCAAAATATTTATAATCTCTTTGCGGTTGTTTTCTTTGTTTACCTTCGTATTGATAAAACTGATATTTTCCCTCCAAAACTAATTTAAGTGATAATACGTATCTCTATATCACATGTAATATCACGTAACTTAACATAAACACATGCGTTGAAAAGTTGACTGATTGAAGACCTTATTACTTTACAGTTTAACAACAGGTAATTATATTATTTTGTTTAAAATCGTTTAGTCATTAATACATTTAAGTATTAGTGTTATTGTTATGTATGTAATAGATGTATTTGATTTAATATATTAATTTTAATTAAACGTCTTAGATACGTGATATTTTAATATCGTATGATTCATTTTGTCTGTGTCGCATCCTACTTACGTGAAATTGCGCAAATTATATTATAATATAATATTATTATGTTATAATTACTTCTATTAAATACTTTTATTAATTATATTATAATATAATATTATTATGTTATAATTACTTCTATTAAATACTTTTATTAATTATATTATAATATATAAAGTTAGTTTTGTCGTATCATAATTCATAATAGGTACTATTGTTACATTTATCATAATATGATATATTATTACTGGTTAAATAATTTGTTTAGGCACAATGGCGAGACGCAGATTACAACTAATGATGGACTTGTCTGGTGTAAATAGTAATAATAATTTGAAAAATAAAGAGCATAACGTTCAAAATTTATCAGACATCTCATCAACTGCTACAATTGTTTTTGATGAACCTGAACTAAAGCCAGTCGTAGAAATAGGTAATAGTCAAAATATTATACAAAATAATTTAATATTTCAAAATGAACAGTATGATAGTTTTGAAATAAATGCTATGAATTTTGATACACATAATATTGAACAAAATAACGAGGTGTTAGCAATTCCACTGGAATGTTATACAAATAATTTTGAAGATGGGATGTTAGAAATTCCACTGGACAATTTTGAAGTGAATACTGTTAGTTCTGATATAAATATTGAAGAAGATAATGAGATGTTAGAAATTCCACTGGCGAATAATACACCTTTATATTATGAATTATTAACTAAGGACATTTTGAAACCGAATGATATAGATAACGAAAATGAACAAATAGCTGATGTAGAAAATATAAATTTGAACCATGTACAATTTGAAGCTAATGATACACGTAATATTAAGCCTCAACCAAACAAATGGAAAAGAATAACTAGTCAAAGATGTAGAATGAATGGCCATGAATACGTAGGTTTTCAGAGAAAAGGGAATGTAGTTAGTCAAGATGTACAACGACCAGCAAGAAAAATACAGCCAACGTGTGAATCTAAATTTTGTATTAAAGCAAAAAACCGTTTTTGTCAATCTTTTGATGCAAATCAAAGATTGGAAATATTTTCTACATTTTGGGATTCGTCCTGGGAAGCAAAAAAGACATTTTCATGTAATATGGTAACAAAAGTGATAACTAAAAGTAATACTACCGGATGTAATGATAGTAGTAGGCGATCAAATACATACACATATCATTTAAAATATAAAGATTTACCTGCATTACAAGTATGTAAAAAAATGTTCTTAGGTACTCTTGGAATGAATGAATTTATGTTACATTCTTGGGTGAATGAATCAAAACATGGTATTCCAAAAAAATCCAAAAATATATCATATGATAATTTAGGTAAAATCATTAAATTATCACCACAGAGTATGGCTAGGAGAGCATTTTTTTGTGATCGCTTAAAACATCTTAAAAATTGGTTTAATAGCCTGGCAAAAATGCCATCTCACTATTGTCGTGATAGAACAAAAAGGTTATATTTAGAAGGGCCTTTTAACAGTTTTCAAGATGTGTTCATTTGTTATAAAAAAAAGTGTACTGAAGATCAGCTTATTCCATTAAGCAAATGTTTTTTTACTCAACACATGAAAGAAAATAAAGTGTCCATATTTAAACCACGAAAAGACCAATGTGATTTATGTTCAGCATACGAAAATTATCAAGTATCTGAAGAAGAATATGCCATGCATATTGCTCTTAAAAATAGAGCAAGGGAAGAGAAACAAAAGGACAAAACAAATGCAGAAGAAAAGAAGTGTTACTGTTTTACTATCGACATGCAAGCGGTCAAATTATGCCCTGCAGTACAAGCAAGTTCATTATATTACTCGATGAAGTTAAAAGTTCATAACTTGACAATATATAACATAGCAACTAATGAATGCAGTAATTACTGGTGGCATGAAGGCGAAGCAGATTTAGAGGCATCTGTATTTGCTACAATTATAATCAAGCACTTATTAACAAAATGTACTGAAAAAATACCAATTATTATCTACTCTGATGGCTGTGGGTATCAGAACAGAAATGTTATACTTTCAAATGCTCTTCTTCAGTTTTGTAAGACTCAAAACATTGTTATCAAGCAAAAATTTTTAATCAAAGGTCATACACAGATGGAATGTGATAGCGCACATTCTCTTATAGAGAGGAAAATAAAAAATAAAGATATTTTTTTGCCCTCTGATTATGTGCGATTAACAACAGAATCTCGAAACAATCCTTGTCCATTTGAAGCAGTCCTGTTAAATCATAGTTATTTTTATGATTTTAAAAATTTAAATACTTACACCTCTATAAGACCTGGTATTGGGAAGGGAGAACCAGAAGTTAAAGACATTCGTGAACTATTATATGACCCATCAACATCATGCATTTATTTCAAACTTTTATTTGATGACCCATTCTGTGCAATACCAAAAAAAGTATTGCCTAGAAAGAAAGTCATAAGAATCGATGAAGATGAACAATTGCAATATAAGCCATTGTACAAAAAATCATTGAATTTATCACTATCTAAATGGAATGACCTACAAAAACTGAAAAAAGTTTTACCAATCGATACCCATTCATTTTATGACACACTTTTACATTATAGTGAACTGAAAACCAGAAAAGGTAAAGTCTAGTCATTCATAGTATTTTCAATTAAAATTTTATTTAATATTTTTAGTTATAATATTGATCATAACATGATATTTATCAATTTTTTTATTTTAATTGTTATAATCTAACATTTTATTTTGACTTCTTAAGTTTTAATAATTTACTTTTGCTCTGTTATTTTAATTATGTTACCTATGTTTTATTTTGATAAACATCATATTGTCATATAGTATTTTAAATAATAATTATTATTTTATCATTTTTCATTACATGATATTTATCAATTGATCATAAGACTGATCCACATTACTTAATATAATATTTTATTGTTATAATCTAAAATTTTATTTGATTTCTTAAGTTTTAATAATTTACTTTTGGGCTGTTATTTTAATTATGTTATGTTTTATTTTGATAAACATCATATTGTTTAGTATTTTAAACACCTAATATTTATTATTTTATAATTTTTTATTACATGATATTTGTCAGTTGATCATAAGACTGATCCACATTACTTAATATAATATTTTATTGTTATAATCTAAAATTTTATTTGATTTCTTAAGTTTTAATAATTTACTTTTGGGCTGTTATTTTAACTATGTTATGTTTTATTTTGATAAACATCATATTGTTTAGTATTTTAAACACCTAATATTTATTATTTTATAATTTTTTATTACATGATATTTGTCAGTTGATCATAAGACTGATCCACATTACTTAATATAATATTTTATTGTTATAATCTAAAATTTTATTTGATTTCTTAAGTTTTAATAATTTACTTTTGGGCTGTTATTTTAATTATGTTATGTTTTATTTTGATAAACATCATATTGTTTAGTATTTTAAACACCTAATATTTATTATTTTATAATTTTTTATTACATGATATTTGTCAGTTGATCATAAGACTGATCCACATTACTTAATATAATATTTTATTGTTATAATCTAAAATTTTATTTGATTTCTTAAGTTTTAATAATTTACTTTTGGGCTGTTATTTTAACTATGTTATGTTTTATTTTGATAAACATCATATTGTTTAGTATTTTAAACACCTAATATTTATTATTTTATAATTTTTTATTACATGATATTTGTCAGTTGATCATAAGACTGATCCACATTACTTAATATAATATTTTATTGTTATAATCTAAAATTTTATTTGATTTCTTAAGTTTTAATAATTTACTTTTGGGCTGTTATTTTAATTATGTTATGTTTTATTTTGATAAACATCATATTGTTTAGTATTTTAAACACCTAATATTTATTATTTTATAATTTTTTATTACATGATATTTGTCAGTTGATCATAAGACTGATCCACATTACTTAATATAATATTTTATTGTTATAATCTAAAATTTTATTTGATTTCTTAAGTTTTAATAATTTACTTTTGGGCTGTTATTTTAACTATGTTATGTTTTATTTTGATAAACATCATATTGTTTAGTATTTTAAACACCTAATATTTATTATTTTATAATTTTTTATTACATGATATTTGTCAGTTGATCATAAGACTGATCCACATTACTTAATATAATATTTTATTGTTATAATCTAAAATTTTATTTGATTTCTTAAGTTTTAATAATTTACTTTTGGGCTGTTATTTTAATTANAAATACCATGTATCTAAATTACTGGAAGAGCAATATCACGTATCTCATTTAAATAGTGTATATAAAAAAAATATATGGTTTATTTATATATATAACATTAAGAAAATATATTAGTTGTTTTATAAAACAAACATAAAGAATGTAGTCAATGTGTAACAATAATTATTCGGTTTTTTGTCTCTCCTGAAAAGTACCAAAAATTTAGTTACGAGGTATTGTCATTAGTGTAACGATATATAGAGAAAAACAAATTCAAAATTTTAATTAGAAAAAAAAGTAAAATGGCTGACAGAAAAAGTCCATACTTATGATGACCTTGTTCTGAAGTTACACAAAAAACAATTTTTAACTGACAATGCATCTGTCCACTTGCAGGTAAATTTTTAACATATTATACTGGGTGATTTTTTAAACATCCCCATTTTTTCCTTTAATAATACATTATTTATTTAAATTTTGATTTTTAGAATGTTAAAACTAAATGAAATCAAGAATTAAAAAAAAAACTTTCTTAAATATCAAAAAAACCGTATTTTTTTAAGTATATAGCAAAATAAAAATATGTTATACCTAATAATTAGTTGAATATGTAACTTATTAATATCTAAAATAATTTATCCAGACCAGAATAAAATTAACTGTTTTATGAATGTAGTCATGGGATGATAAAATAAAGGTAGGTATTAATAAATCAGAAAATAAAACTAGTAGGTAATAGTTAATTGAAAAAATGTCTACAAAACACAAACTATTGTAATGAAGCATTAATTAATTTTTTTATTTAAAACATTAGGTACTATGTACAAATTAAGTTTAATTAACTTAAATAAGTAATGCCTAACTTAAAGTAAATTTTGAAACCTTTTTTTTATCATGTTTTCTTTTTTTGGTTCAGCATTACATTTTTGGGAAACTTGCCGCATTCTCATATTTATATAATATCTAATTGCAAAAACAATTATTTCTTCGCTATGCTGGAAACATGGAAAATAAATAACATTGTTTTTTAATAATTCGGTTAATATTAATTCAAAAACGTCTGCCATTAAACAATACTCTGTAAATAATTGTTCAATTTTACAGACAAAATTAAAAAAATGTAAATTTGGATGATAAGGGTAGGTACCTCTGGAAGTTAAGTTGGTTAGTCCAGCAACAGGTTCAACCGAATTCAAATATGGTTGCTTAATTGCAGCTTGGCAAGTAGTACATATGAAATAACACATTATTTGTTTAGACAAATAACCAGTGACATAATATGAAATGCAGTCTATTACAGGGGATAAATAATAATCATGATCGTTGACTTCTACAGTATCATCCAAACTCCAGTCTTCCTGTTCAATAGCAAAATCCAGTCTATTATTTTTTTTAATATAAGCAGGATTTATTCTCAATAAAGGTGGTTTTCTATGTTTTAATGGCCTTGATAAATATTTTGGACAGTTTGGGAAAATAGATGGCACTGCTTTTTCTTTAAGTCGAGGAATTTTATATGGCGCCTGTGGGGGACAAACCAATAATAAATTATAGATATCTAATATTACACGCAAAAAGTTGATTTTAAAATAAATATATGAATTTCAATTTTTAAGGAATATTTAAGAGGGTATTTTTTTTTTACTTCCATAAATTTATATGGAACTTATAAAACTATTTGTACCAAAGAATAGAATTTATTTACTCCCAAAACAATCTAATAATAAGGTAAAGAAAAAACACTAAACCAATAAAAAAAACAAAATTGTATATTATTATTTAGGTAAACACTAGATATAATTTTTAAATACCTAATTTTTGTTCAATTAAAAAAAAATAAGAAAACTTATATTACAATATTATTTTTAACACAAGTATTATAATAAGTAATTACTATGTAAAAAACCATAGGCTATAATTTAAGTGATTAGCACTTTGTTCGTAAAATCAATTATATTTGAACAATTAACAAAACAATACAAAAAGACGTAAGTTCTATATACGAATATAGGGCCAGACACAACTAGCGCTTTAGTTCACGCAGCCACCACCCTTGGTCGTTCTGTTCTTCAGTACAGCATAGCGCGAGTTACAACCTGTGAAGATAACCGTGGTTGCGCTCATCACTAGGAATGACAGGAATGAGCCGGCCGCTTGAGGCCAACGACCATCAGCGCTAACGGTGGTTGTACGATAGAACTATACACGGTACCAAGCGCTCCTATTCGCGATCAAAAGCGAAGGGTCTGACTTCTAGTGGCAATAATGAGAACTGCCTGAAACGGGCGCACAGTTATTTGTTTACAAATATTAAATAATATTAAAATATTCAATTTGCTTATGAATAATATGGATCACACTTACACTAATTCAAAAAAAGACTTACGGTACGGTATAACCATAAATGCTGCAGTGTTCCACCATGTACAGCCAGGTAAATAATATAAAAATTAAATAAAAAAATAATGTTTGTTTGAATATATTCATGAATCATGCCCTGATTTTATTTCATACTTGACAAAAAAAAAGGAATTTCTTTTCAGAAATTCCCAACTGATCGGATTATTAAAAAAGAAATGGGAAGTTGTCTTAAAAATGGCCATGAAAAGTTCAAAAACCTCACTAGTATGCAGTGAACATTTTTTAACTAGTGATTTTGTGAAGACTAAAAATTGTGATTATACCTATTCATTAAATATATTATACTGTATTTAAAACATAGTTTATTGTTAATTGAGTGCTGTGATTTTTGATATTTTGCTAGTTAACTCACCTGTCAAAGTTAAAAGATTAGCCAAAGATGTGATGCCTTCTCAAAATTTACCTATTAGATCATTTGATAGACCATTAGACGGTCCTAAAAAAATGAAAATTATTCAGATTTAAATTCGTACACTGGTCTTTTGAACCTATCCACATTAGATAAACTGGTGACAATTTATGACATAGTATTAATGAAACTTAACTATACAGTAAGTTTCAGCATTGATACCAGACAACGTATTTTTCTTACAATGACAAAATCGAAGTTGAATATGTCATACAATTGTCTTGCTGTGTTGTTTGGAATATCTGCTGTGAGTTGCAAAAATTATTTTATTGCTACAGTTGATTTACTGTATTTAGTCTTGAAGCCATCAATGCTTTGGTCCTTTAAAGATTTAAACAAAAGAAACATTCCTTAAATGTTTTCCTAATTTCATGGATACTAGAGTTGTGTTAAATTGCACAGAAACCACTGTTGAACGACCCTAATGTCTAACATGCAGAATACGTACATACTCACATTATAAAGGTAAAGGTACTATTAAGTGTATGATTAGGATATCACCAGATGGGTTATCATCTTTTTTGAGTTCAGTAAATGGCGGAAGAGCAAGTGACAAATTTATTTTCAATGGCAGTGGAATATTAAATAAATGTGAGGAAGGTGACTCTATAATGGTTGACAAAGGATTCCTTATCGATAAAGAGTGTAATGGTAGAGGAGTCCAATTGCATAGGCCACCTTTCTTAGAGAAACAAAAACAATTGAGTTCTGATGATGGCATTGTTAACTGCGAAATAGCAAGAGCCAGAGTACACGTTGAGAGAACAATTCAAAGAATATAAATTTTCAAGATTTTTCTACACAAAGTTGAATGGGCACATTTAAGCCAAATAGATAAAATAATGTGTATTGTTTACGGAGTTGTTAACTTAAGCAATCCAATTGAAATTTGAATAATGAATACTGAATGGAAAACAATCCGACCCCGCACAGCGTACCCAGCCTACGTGGAAGTAAACGTTTACATAATACCACTTTGGGTCTAACATCATATTGGTAAACGTCTCTGTGTTTTTCGGAGGTTCAGACTTCAGATCATAGGTAAACAAGACCCCAACCAGCTGATCGAGTGTCGCTTCTATATTGTTCTATGGCTGTAGTCACGATGTAGAGAAGAGAAGGTGATAACACTCGACTTGATTGGGAGAAAAAAAGTGGCTTATTTTTCGACGGCAATTTTTTAGTTTAAATAATATCCACAGGGGTCACCACGAGCATCGAAGGCCGGTTGTTATTCAATATTTCAATAATTTAGCATTATAACCACTGTGCAATAATGCATTATTTTCATTAAATCGTAATTTATAAATAAATAAATATTTTATTTAACCCTTTCAGACCCAAATTAATGTTGTTTGAAAAAAAAATTTTTTTTTCTTCATAATATGGTTTAATATGATATAATTAAGTTTTTTTGCGAGTTTCATAATTTTTGAATTTTTTTTCAGCAGGTTACAGGTAAGTACACTACAGTGTACCTTGGGCCTTTTGGGATAACTATTAACGGAAATCTATTTTTCGACAAATTTTGATATTCAAGTTATGTAACTACACAATTTTAAACATATAATCATATATTTTTTTATTGTATAGATACGTAAACAACATAATATAATTAATATGATATAATTAAAATCAGTAAAATATAAAATACGTTTTTGACGTTGTATATAATAAAATAAAAACATATTGTGTATAAAAACAAATGAAAACTAAAAACAAAAAATTAAAATTAAATAAAATAGCAGTCCTTTTTAGGTACCTATAAGTAAATTCGTAACAAATAAATAATACCAAAGAATTAAAAATTAATAATTAAAAATAGGTTTTATCATAACTACATTATTACTTTGTATGATATTTGTCAAAACAGTTACTTGTCCTATCCAAGCATAGATGAAGATTGCATTTGCTACAAAACGTATGTGTTCTTCTTTTGCAAGTTGGATGTTTACACTTCGTTGCATATTTTCGTTCGTCGACTAATGCACGATGATATGTTCCATCTAAACGTACATCAATATTTGGAGGCGCTGAATCTACCACGTTTCTTTTCTTGTATGTTTCTTCTGGTACTGGTTCCGCCTGTGCTGATGGACGTCCTCTTTTTCTATTTGGCGTGCTTGGTTTATTTACGCGTATCAAACTTTCTGCGATATCCATACGAAAATCCATCGAATCCATAATTTTTTTTTTTGGAATTTTCAAAATTTCTGCGTGTTTTTTATATTGGATCCAAGAATTACATATAGCCAAATCAAAAAAATGCATGGCCATTCTTAATGTCCATTTGTTTGATCTAATATAAATCCTATAATAACTAACCATCTGGTCCATTTTGTCCACTCCTCCCATTGATTGATTATAAATACGAACAATTTCAGGCCTTTCTATGTCAACATACTTTTTTTCCTTTTTAGACCATCTACGAACCACATCAAGTTCCCCAGATGTAACAAAGTTTGAACCTAAATGCACTGGCTTGTTATCATACCATTTGAGTAAACCTATATTGTAGTTGTTCGGTTGGTCTGTGGTTATTTCAAACGATGTTCCTCTTCCCAATTCTCGCATCAATTTATCAGACAAAAAAGGTGGTTTGGCAAACCAATTGGCCCTGATTGTACCAACAGCATATATTTTATCGTGCAGTAGTTTTTCAAAAAGCCCATAGGACGAGAAATAATTATCAAAAAATAGAAAATGACGATTTGGTTTTATGTTTTCGGTTAGACGTAAAACAACTGAGCCTCCAGAACCATACGTTTTAATATTTTCAGGGTCTAATTCGGAAAAACCTTGAAAAAGAAACAAATTGTAAGCCAAACCACTTTCTCCACATAATAGAAAAATTTTGATTCCCCATTTGATTGGCTTATTTTTTACATATTGTTTGATACACAACTTGCCTTTAAAAGGTACCATTTGCTCATCCACACAAATGTTTTTTTCCACGGGTAGGCTCTTACATTTTCGTAAAAAACTATCACACAGAGGCCGAACTTTTATAAACTTATCCTTATTACATGGTGGTATATCATTGTTATCAATTACGTGAAAATTAGTTCTTAAGTTAAAAAATCGATTTCGGCTCATATTATCAGCTATCAAATGTACAAAAAATCTTTTTTGCCAATACATGCGTACACGGGAATATTTCAGGCATCCCATTAGCATGTGTATACCAATTAGCGTTTTTATCTCGTGTTCGTCGGTGAGTTTGAACTTTGAGCCCAAATTTTTTTGAGTTGCGTACAAATTAGTATTAAATGCTATTTTAACAAAAATATCGTCCCCAAAATATTCAGAAAAATATTGTATGGGAGTTTTAAGTGTATCAATATACTCACTTTCTATATCTTCTAAATTAATAGTAGGTGGCTCGAATGGTTTTTGTACCCAATGAATATCACGTTTATTTGTATTTATGAAATCAGGTTCAACCTCCTCTATATCGGGCAAAATGTCCGAGGATAAATCGTCAAAATCATTTAACAATTGGTCAAACTCATCAATTGGAAAACAATTATCATCTTCCAATTCGTCAACTTCACTACCTATATCAGACACATCACCATCTCCCAAAAGAGCCAAAATATCACCATCACTTAACATTTTAATTTATTGTTTACACTAGGTCCAATAAAAATGAATAGGTATAAGTTGTATAACGGATATAATATATTTAATAACGAACTATAATGTAAAATATTAAATAATATTTCAATAATCAGAGATAAACGAGTTGTCATTGGTATGTGTGTGTGTATGACATAATAATGTGTTATATTATCATATTATAATAGTTTTTATTAGCACATTATTGTTGATAAAAATAATAATTATTCTGTGCATAAAAAATGTGGGAGCTATTTTTAACGCGGAACGTTCCGATCGTTCCGAATCCGAAAGAATGACGTCGTAGAGGCCCAGCGTACACCACAGTGTACTTCGTTACCAACGGCTGTAAATTATAAACAAACCGCTAGATGGAGATAGAAGTGATATTTTTTCAATATTTACAATGTCTTTGACTATAGACACCGTGCAAACTGACAACTAGCGCTCTGGGGAGATAATGTACATACTAATCGATAGCAACAAATATGCGTAAATAATACATTCATGCAGTAAAACCGTTGTATTTTATTGTATGTAATTCACTACATTCAAATATTACGTCAATTTTGATTGTACCTTGTCTTAACACAATATGCACTGTTTAATTAAATCAGGACTCATCAGTCCTTTGACCCATATGTGGGTCACATTAAACCTATTTTATTAGTCCATGATCCACATGTGGTTCATTCATACATTTACCTATTTATACATTATTTATATTTGTTTCGACTACATCCTTTGAAATTCATAATAACGTTGTTGAACTGGTGAGATGATAAGCTTTCTAAAGCTTATCAATTTTCAATAGGGACTAATCAATTAACTAAACCACGAACCACATATGGATCACCAGACCCTGAACGTCTGAACTTGTTGGTATGTCGTGTTATGACTTATGGCAGACTTAAAAATTAAATGTGGTTTCCAACCAGTCACATATAATTTTATTTTTCCAAATGACAAAGGCAAAAGATTAGTAGAAAGTGGACATTTAATTAATGTCGAAGAAATAAAACCGGCTACTAATCATATTACACCTAGAATAAAAGGACTATGTATAAGGCAAACTTCTGTGTCTTATGATCCATGGACAGTTATTCTTGAAGTAAGTTAAATCAACAATANTTTTTCGATATCTACACAAGTTCTACTTGAAAATAAGACAATGACCGCCAAGATATTTTAATTTTATCAGGTGTCGTAATTATTAATAGTTACGGTACACTACAGTGTACTTTGGGTCTGAAAGGGTTAAGATGAAAAATACCTGTGTGTGCCTATACATATATAATGTTATATGAAACATTTTATTCAACTGCCTATATATAAGTTGACAGTTGGAAATTATAGCAATATTGCATTTAACAGTATAAAACTTATTACAAAGGTAATAATTTCTATATTTTGCAAGAAACTCAAAACTATTTATATAATATACTTACTTTATCATATTTACTTCCAATTTAATAATTACCTTGTATTGATACCTCTTCATAAATATTTCAATATATCTAAAATATTATTATATGCATATTTATTGGTAGGTATATGATATATTTTATTTAACTGCCTAGATGTCGAGAGTTGGAAAGTATAGCAATATTGCATTTAACAATACACAAATCATTACTAATTTAATAATTTCAATATTTTGTAATACATTCAAAACTATTTATGTATAAATACTTTATTATATTTACTTCTAATTTAATACTCACCTTATAAAGAGCTATCAATATAAGGTAAGTATTAAATAATAATAATGTAGGTACCTAGGTATAATATACAAAATAATATACATACAAATAAGCTATTATATAATATTAAATAAGTAGTTACAACTTTGATTGTTATGATAAATTGCTTTGTTTTTTGTTTTTTTTGTCGCATTGAATTAGCTTCATTGCACGCAAAGTGCATTCGGCATTGAGTATAAAATATTATTATGCTTTGAGTGATTTCTCGAGCATGTTCTTCACATCCTAAAACATTTATATTATCTTCCATCATGAGATGAGTCATTATACTAAACAGCAAATTGGTGTATAGATGTTCAACAGTAAGTTTTTGGCATATAGCATCTTCAATCTGTAATATATAAATATAATAGAAGCAGGTTAATAACATATTATATTTAAATACTTATTATCTATACCTACATAATCTTATTAATTTATAAGATATCTGGTATAATTTGAATATACTAGTCCCTTAAAAATGATATCACATTATACAATGATTTATTAAAAAAAAAACTATAAACTACGAGTATATCTGTATCTTCATAAAATTATAGGTACTTAGTCCCTAGTCATTTAGTTACCTGATAAATTATTTCATGTAGTTTTTGATGGAACTAATAAATACCCATAACTTTTAATATGTATGAGTTTTTCTCTATCATCATTATTATTTTCATTTTCAGTTGCACATAGAGCAGTATAACATTTATCACAGGTTTTGGCTGGTTTGATTTTCTTCATTTTCCTCGCGACATATCCAGCAAGCACAGTTAGTGCATGATTATTTATGGGCAGTGTAGTGTAATTATGATCACTTTCTAAACTAAATCCATTATATTTATTATCAAGTATATTGTCTATTTTATTTTCTATTTCTTTCCTCCTTTCATTATTTTTTTCTGTTAGAATGTCTGGCGTACTAATGATGGCTTCCAAGAGTTTCTCCTAAAATATTGCTACCTTTTGGAGGGCGTACTAAGGAATAGGTTGAAAGAAGTCTGTACACTTGAATTGAAAATTAATATAATATTATATATTTTTACAAAAGTTTAAAATTGAATTAACATAATAAATAATAATAGTTATTTACTATTTATAGTAACTATAATTTATAATATAATATTATTAATAATTTTTATTTTAAATTATAATATTTAAAGTATTAATATCAATATCTTGAAAATAACTTAAAATTAGGTATTGCATGTACAAATAATTTATCATAGTTTAAACAAAATTATTAGTACCTACCATATTATAATAATATATTATTGTGGAATTATTTAGTAATTATTTACTTTAAATTAAAAAATGCTCATAAATTTTGTTTAGTCTATTGTAGTCTTATACCTTTGGTGCTCCAAATAATGTAAAAATTTTTCCTTCGCTAGCATATCCCGTCATACAGCCTGGCACAAAACATTTGTTTGGCATTTTAAATTAATTTACCTGTTCAACTTTGTTTAGCTTTTGAAAAACTAGGAAAGTATTGTGTCTGTCAGTAGTAAAAAACTAATGATGTTTAAATGGGCTGTCAGAGTTCTTGCAGACTTGCAATAATTCTAATAAATTTGGAACAATATTAGGAAGGGGTTTCTATTTTGAATACCGTTTGTTATGACTAGAAATCTATCTCCGTCCTCAATGTATTTATTTTATAACATTTTTTTTTATTTCAACTTGCTAGTGTGATATAATCATATTTCATATGAATTATGAAATTCAAACAATAATATTATATTATAAAGTCCATTTACAATGCACCAAAATAGCAAATAATTAATGTTTGTTATGACTGGAAATCTGTAAATCTACCTCTATATATTTATTTTATTGAATTCGTGCCTATATATAATATTTTTATTTATTTCAACTTGCTAGTATGATATAATCATATTTCATATGAATTATGAAATTTGAACAATAATACTATATTTTAAAGTTCATTTTCAAATTCTCAATGCACCTTTATAGGAAATAATTAACGTAACTTCGAGTACTGTGGCGGTGCCTGGCGGTATTCGTGTTAACTAAAATAGTGCCGTCGGAAAATAAGCCACTTTTTTCACGGAGTGTTATCCCCTTCTCTACATCGTGATTGTAGTCATAGTATTGGGGCAGTGATATGGACTTAGTCATTTTTTCAAGTTTTTTTTCCAGACCCAAAAGCCAGAGATCAACCAATATTGGTTAATGTACTATAATATTATAGTGCCAATCTTATATTTCATTAATATCATTTTTAGTTGATTTTTTTTTTAAATTCTTACTCTTGAAGTTTAAGCGTGAAACCAACAATATGTTTACACATTCCGGAACAAATGCACTTTACCACGCCCCTCACGAATTTCGATTTTTTTTTTTTTTTAAAGACGTGTTTTTCAACGCTGATTTCGAAACTGTTTGAATTTTTGTGCGGAAACCATTATTTTGGAAGTTATAGCCTTCCAAAGTTTGCGATTTTACGTTTATACGCATGCGCTCAACACCACTATGCATTACCGCCGCGCGGAGCGTGTATAACCTATTTAAATTCTTTTTACGGGGACAATAATTTTAAAGTTGAAATTCAATTTTTTTATTTTATTGTATATTATACTTATACACAATGTTAAATATTTAATAAACAATATTATCATCAGTTTCTTCATCTGTTTCTTCATTATCATCTGTATCACTTGAGTTTTGCTCAACATTAATTGGGACATTTGCGTTGTACAAATGTCCAGCTAATTTGAAAAACTCTATTAAGGCGTCATTTTTATTTTTAGTTTGTTTTAAAAACATGTGTTTGGCGAGATATCCTCCTATAAAATCTTTCTTCCTATGATATTGAGGTAGTGAAAATTTGGCATGTCTCCAAAGGCCTTCAATTGTATTTGTATGCTGCTGAGTTTCGGGATCTTTAAAATTAATACTATGATTAACCTTAAAATGCACATATCCCTCGTCATTCAAACAGTCGTATGCCTAATATATTTAAGTATTAAAAAATATTAAATTTATTAAATTTTAAAAAATATTAAATTTTTTAAATTTTAAACAATTACCTTCCAACAGTCAGAAATGATCGTTGTCCCTGGTAAAATCCACTCTTTTATAATGTTGAGTAATGTCGTTTTGTCTCTTTTCTCCACTGGGACAAGAAAACATTTATTGGTCCCTCGCTCGACACCTCCAAATACCCACTGACCTTCAACTGCGTGCCCCCTATGGTATTTCCGCTTTCCAAATTTACTCTCGTCAATTTCCACTTCAACACCCACTCCACCGATTTTAACTTTATGAGCAACTAGTCCATCATACATAACTTCTCGACAGAAATTTGACCAATCAACAATAGTATGACGGCTAATTTCTAACTCACTCATAATGAATGACTGCGTGGTGTGTTGGAGGCACAAATAAGACAACGCAACTATCTTAAATATTGAAAGGTGTGACTTTTCGAAAAATGTATTTTTCCTCATCGATACCTGATAGTTACACTTAGTAGCTTTTTGATTCCTAACCGAACATTTCTCACGGCACCTGGGTTAAAAAAGGATCGATTTAGAACGTACTTACTAGATAGCCAGATAGGTACTTACCTCCAAACAAAGCCATCAATAGAATCATTCCGTGACACTAGTTTTAAATTATGACCACGAGGGCATTTGTATTCTCCACTTTTTGGAATTAAATTCCACTCTTGAAGTAGAATAATAATATCCTCATTAATTTTCCCGGAGGTTTCGCAATTAAATATTTTAAAAATTTTTAAAAGATTTAAATTTGACATAATAACAGTAAACTGTTTAAATATATTAAAATAAGAATTTCTTAAAAATGACCTACTCGCTATTGCACTTTCGGGCAGACTGATTTTATCGTATTTATCGTACTAAGTACCTTATAATTATTTTAAAAATTAAATATTATATAATATAACTGCTATGCATTATAATTGGGATATTTAAAAAAACAAACAAAATTGCACATTTTAATTGGTCTTCGTTCTATTTTTATATCAATATCGCTATTTTATAACTATTTCATTATAACTAAATTGTATATTTACAAATATTGTTATATTCAATTATCTTGATGATAATTATATCAGGTAGATAAGCTAATGAGTATATTGTAGTACCTACTATACCTATATACCTATATACCTCCGCTCCGCAAATCGAAAATATCCCCCGACTTGCTGTGCAACACCTCCCCAAGTGGGTCACAGGGTTAAGAGTAAAAAGAATTTAAATAGGTTATACACGCTCCGCGAGGCAGTAATGCATAATGGTGTTGAGCGCATGCGTATAAACGTAAAATCACAAACTTTGTAAGGCTATAACTTCCAAAATAATGGTTTCCGCACAAAAATTCAAACAGTTTCGAAATCAGCGTTGAAAAACACGTCTTTTAAAAAAAAAAAATCGAAATTCGTGAGGGGCGTGGTAAAGTGCATTTTAGCCCACATTCCTGTGCCAGCTTTACATCAACATTTCCCCAATAGTTGAACTTCTTTGTTCAACATTGACTTTATAACTTCAAGCTAGAGAGGCAAATAAGTATTAATATCATAATGTTTTTGTTATTAAATGATTTAAAATTTAAGTCTTATCTGGTGAGGTTTTCCATTCAAGTCACTAGTTTTCATACAAAATGCAACCAATTTTAATCTATCATCTGTATTTTCCTAACAAGCATATTCAATAACATTTAACTGTTTGTAAACCTTCAACAAATGGTCTTTTTAAGTCCCCCACATAATCAATTATGTCAGTTAGTTCATTTACGGGCTTTAACATAGTTTTAAAAAAAGACTGAGCAATTTAAATTTAAATTATAAAAAATAATGTTTTTCAGACTTTTTTCATATCTACTGTATGTTAATATTTTCACCATGCGCCCGTTTCAGCTTATCAGACTACAGCGCTCCTACATTTGCTCTTGATCGCACCACCCTGGAGTAGACCGCCCATAGAAAGTATATATAATAGATAGGCAACTCCAGTGTTAAATATTCGGACTGCGGTTAGCGCTCCCGGGGATTGCACGATGAACTATCCATGATAATTTAAATAATATTACCGAAATATTGAAAAAAAAAACGCAAATTATTTATTACCAGAGGAAAGTATTGAACCCTGTACCCCGGATGTTCTGTCGTTCCTAACCTAACAATCCTATACTATCTACCTACGTGAGAATAATAAACTAAAAATTAATAATTGTAAGTAATAACATTGATTTTATAATCAATGTCATTTTATTAATACAGACAAGCCATTCTATTGTTAATAGTGGCAGCTGCTGAATGCAATTAACCACTGCCACTATTAACAATAGAATGACTTATCTGTATATTATAAAGTCAATGGTAATAGTGTAAATAAAAAATTGTGCAACTAAAATAATAAATTCAGGGTAAAAGATTAAATTTTCCTTGTACTCGTCTTTGTTTTGAGTGAGACATATAACACGCGTGAATTAATTTTTTTAGTGGATTTTTTTCTGAGTCATTTTTCTTTTCCCATGATGTTGATTTCGGTGCAATAGTGGTTGATCATCATCGTAACAACAATGGTCAATCATTTTTGTCTAAAAAAGTTGGTCATGATCTTGGCAATGCAGTATGTCATTGCAATTATAAAGTGAAGAAATTTTGTTTGTAAGAGAAAGATAAATATTTTCATGATGACACATTTTAGACATATTTTCTCCAATGAAATTTAATATTTGTTCTATGGCTATTTGAAATGTTAGAGATGGATATTTCAGTGAATTTTCACTCATAAGATATTCTCGAGCAGCAATGAGTTGATGGTGTTTAGTTGGTCTATTGGAGCATATTTGACTTACGCAATGCTTGCAATTTTTAAAAAATTCTCTATTTAATTTTCTTATAATAAATCCAGCCATTTAAGAATGTGTTTGTCCTTGAAGGTAAGGCAGAATCTGGTAGTTGGTTTATTTTCACTGGAAGGTCAGCAGCTATGATTTTATCACTAGTTGGTGTATTTTTCTGTGCAGAGAGGAATACATTTTTGAAAGAAGCCAAGCTTCCTTCAGTTAAATCTTCTTCACAATTAGATCCTGGTGGATATGCGAAGATACCAAGTTATTTAAAATGAGAGTTTTGTAGGCTAAAGTAATGGCATTGCAATTAGGATTTGCTGATCCAACGTTCCTAATTGCTCCAAAAAAACATTCAAGTGAATCTTGGCTTATATTGCGTGGCAATAACGATTTAATACCGACTGATCTCAATACCACTTTGTACAATGTTTGAAATGCTGAAATCATAATATTATTTATAGTTTTGTGAATAAATAAAATAATTCAAAGGTATGTATTAAGTAAGGTACATCTTATCGTAGTCATCCAATTACGTATGGTTGGAACTGACACTTTCTTCCCATTTTTACCAACAAAACTCATAGTACTAAGTACTTTTAAACTTTGTTCCCAGAGATTATGATGTGGTGAATTGTTTTTAACTGATGTTCTGTAAATCTTCGCATCAACAACCTTATCAAAGTTTCCATTCAATGAGTCAAACAACTTCGAAGAATAAACAAAGAGATGCAGTGTGTTGTGCTTCTGAGCTTATAATATTACGAGCTGTAAACAAAAAAAATATTTAAAGTTATAAACAGTTATAAGAAAATAAACTTTAAATAATTTTTACCTTCTAAAAAGTTCATCGCCGAAGACACCCATTGTGAAAAAACTTGTGTAGCATTCTTGAACTTCATTTTTGAGATTTTTTCTGGTATAATATGCTGGTGAGTAAGACGTTATTCAGATTTCTTAACTTAGCTACCGATGATGTTGGAAGATGTCCCTTTATTGCTTCGTCAAAACTTATTTTTTCAACAGCATGGAGCATCCGCTCATAATGCCAATATTGTAAGACAACAATTAAATTAAATGTTTGGAAATCGATGAATGGGAACTCACGGGCCCGTGGAATGGCCCCCACTGTCACCTGATCTAACACCATTAGACTTTTTTTTATGGGGCCATTTAAAGACTGTTGTTTATGCAGATCCACTAGCAAACTTACAGGATTTAAATAAATAAAATAACGGTAGCGTGCAGACAATTAACAAAAGAACAAATTTTGGCAGAAACCTATTGAGTGGTGAGTCGTCGACTGGAATTGTGTTTAGAAAAAAACGGAGGAAATTTTATTAGATAAGAAAAATAAACATAAGTCAAAACAATGTAAAGATGTAATTTTTATTTAATTTCCTACTTCACATTCTTAATTAAAATCTATGAAAAAATCACTCAATTCAAGAGTGTAATGTTTTTGGTAAAATCAAAAAAATTTAATTATTTTAAAATTTCAAAAAGCTGTAACTCATTCAATTTCAATTTTAGAACGATGGTCATTGGTCAATGGATCAAAATTACTTAGAATAAAATAATCTATCCATATCCGTTGACAAAAATAGGTGTTGCAATTTAAAAAAAAATTGTATTGCGCATACGCGTACTACAAGAGTTAAAAATTTGAAATTTGCCCTTAAATGTGTACTTCAGTACCCCTTAGCTATTGCAGCAAACCGTATATCAATCTAAGATTATCGGTCTGAGATATTTAGTGGTACATTTAAAACAGGACACACTGTATAAGTCGACTAAATGTGACCATTTAGCACATTTCACTTCATTGTCAACAGTAAAAACTAATTTCTTAGCTATAAAATTATTCCGTACACATTTCATTAAATGTAGAACATCATATATGTGTACCAATTTTAATCTACTCTTATTCATCAATTCAATTGCATAAAAATAATCATCATATGGTAATTGGTTTTTAAGATAAAATTCTCTTGTTTGTTGATTTAGAATCTTGATAGCTTGACAAGCACACCTCATCTAATAATATTGTGCAATATCTATTAAAATGTAATAAAAAAATTAAATTAATTTTAATATAGGGAGAGCGGGGTTAGTTGTTACACCTTTGACATATCGAATTTTTATAATTTTTCTTTTACTATGATCATAATCGTTGTAAGATCATTTTATTTAGTAACTTCCTAGGTACCTTTTTATGATAATAAAGTGAAAAAAAAATTAATTTTTAATACTAAAAAAACCCCAGTCAAGTCACTAAGTCAAAATGTAACAACCTGCCCCTGGGTTGGGTAAGTTATAGTCCAAGTGCACATTGTTACATTCTACATTTTGAAATATTATTGCTCAAAATAAATAAAAAATTTATAGTAACAGTAATTATAAGCAGTGGTGTAGTCAATGGTGGGTGGGAGGTTAGGGGTTCTTTCTTACAACGTGAAAAGTTTAAACATCTTAGTATTTTTTTTTTCTTAATTTACTATAACATGTTATTATTATAATTTTTGAGTGTTTTAGTCTAGCTCTCACATGTGACGGCTGGTTCATAACGACTAGTATATAAAGGTTTTCCATACTAATTACTATCAGTGCGAAGTACTCCCTGTCCCTCTTAATTTCGGGTCATGTCTATACAATGGAAAGTGTTGTAGTCCTAGACTGTCGAGGCTACATCAATCACAACGGAATTCAAATCCACTTCAATGAATAGGGAGGAAGGATACGCCTTAATATTTTTTAGGCCGGTTCTTACAATGTCCGGTTAAGTGCCCGTTAACGGTTAACCAGACATTGTAAAAACCGGACTTACTCAATTTTATCGAATAAATTTCCAAATTTAAAATGTTTTTACTTAACATAATATATACCATAGCATAATATAATATAATTGCCACAAAAAACATCCATTCAGAAAAATTATTTAAGAAGAAATGAAAATACTTGCCATGTATACCTATTAATAATGTTGAAATAATTTATTATTTGATAATTAGACAGTTAGTAAGTTGATGAGGACAAATATTTAAGTTAAGTTGATAAATAGTTAATAACCAATAAATCCAATACTAAAATTTTAATCATAAGAATATGTTTAACTCATTAAAAAATTTAACTAAATTATGTTTAATTACCACCTTGGTCAAACTAGATAAACAATTAACTAGATAGACGTTTTATCAAATAAAAATTGATTAGGTTATTTATTATTTTTTTATTCATACTACTATACTAGCCATACGGCATACTGTATAGTACCAAAATTAACATTATAAATATTTAAACATAACTTTAACTTTATAAATATTGAAACATAACTTTAACTGTATAAACTTTATACAATGTTAAAAAAAAAGAAAAGGAATTTTATTTTTTCAATCTATTTGTTATGGTATGATTGAAAGCATGTATGTGATTTGTTGTTGCACAAATAAATTGCACATTTTGAGCATTGGTTGTTTGTAAAACCTTTGCAGTTTGGATATTTTATCGCCCTCTTTTATCCATTCGAATTGGCCAATGACTTGTTTGATCTATTCTCACATTCTTTGATGGTCTAAACGACCGAGGCCTAGTACTAGTTATTTTATTTTGCAGTGGTGTAGAGGATCTTTCTTTTTTCGGTTTTACTTCACCAATTTTACACAATGTGTAAGCAAGATCTTTTCTCCAACCAGCCAAAGTAAACTTGAGAGCAATGTCTTTAGTTTTACAAACTCTTTTATATAGGATCCATGAGTTCACCACTGTCATATCTAACAAATGGTAAAATATTCTCATATACCATTTGCGAGACTTAATTTTAATTTTGTACCTGCCTATGTGACTATCAAGTAAATCCACACCACCCATATGCCGGTTATACTCTTTAATCAAAAATGAGCAATCTACTCCTATTTGAGTTTTCATCTTTTTATCATAACGTTTTACAACAGAAATTGGATCTTTCCCACAATATGTGGATAAAAGTGTAACCACTTTATTGTCCTTCCACAAAACTAAAGACAATGGCGCGATTCCATATGATGATACCTTATCAACTGATGTTCCTCTTTTTAGGTTTTTTTATATATTTATCATAGGTACACCTAAACGATAAATTGCGTTAATTATGGCAATTTAAATATTTAATGATAATAATTTCATTTTTTAAAACTAATCAAACACCAATATTATTAATCATTGTTAACCAGTTTTTTTTTTTTGAACTTTTGATTTAGATTTTTTTCAAAGCTTCGCAAGCTAAATGAGTGCCAGTGCATTCATTGTCAATTCTACAAATATCAACATCTACATTAAGCATAATAAAGTAAAGCAATTACAACAATTAGCATAAAAAGGAATGTTTGGCTTTCATGCGTAAACATTTCAGTAAATAGATACATACATATATCTTGAGAAACTAATAGATCAGCAACATCGTCTGATTTAGTGTCAACATTTGCATCCAACAAATAAAATCCTGAGATGTCATGGAAAGCATTATGTTTTCGCTTCTGAATTCATTCCATAAACTAAAGATTTTCCTTAGTGTACATAGATTTAGTTAAAACTTCAAGACATATAACATTATAAAATTTAAAACAAACCTATTGCGTTATCTGTAACCAATTCACTGTTAATTTTGCGTATTTCGACATTTTTAATTTTTAAGAACTTATTTAAAAATTTTAATTGCATATTTCATTTTAGAGTTCATATTTTGGAGTTAATTTGATTTTAAACATTTTTGAAGCAATTACCGTTACAAAAAAAAAAAAAATATCTTTTACGAAGAAAATCTTATCGCTCTCAGATTTTGTGGGAAGTGCCCGTTAATCGGTCTGGTGTGTCATATTTCATTTTATTGTGTGTAGAGTCTCGGCCCTTAGATTAATTATCTTATCTTTATCGGTGTAATAATCAAATAAATATAATACTCAGAAAATATCGGTTTCGGTATCAGACCAATAATATTATTTCATTCTGTAGAAATATTTAGTATCAACTAGTAGTGATAAAAGTAGTAGTCAAATCCGTAGTGCGTGTCTTCGTGTATTATATTTTTTCTAGATACCGAAAGAAAAATCGTCTTTATCGAGTCGTTTCGTAATTATGTGTGTGAATTTGGCTAGAATATTTTTTCAACCGATGGTCAAGTAATACTGTGCAAATTATGTGAAGTAAAAGTTAAGGCCACGTTAAACGATATTCAATTACACAACATATTAAAACTGTAAAGCCTTTAAAATCTGTAAGTTTGAGCCAGACTAAAAAACAAAATGTTCAAAGCTTATTCACTAATACAGTATTGAATAGAGATCCATTTTGTGTAGATGTATTCAAAGCACTGGTTTCGGCAAATATTCCGCTAAAAAAACTTAACGATACACATTTCAAATCATTTTTGGAAAAATATACTCAGAAAAAAATACCCGATGAATAGACAATTCGTAAAAATTATTTAAATGATTGCTATATTGAAACAATGAATAAAATTCGTGATAAAGTTATAAAAAAGGTGTGGTTGTCAATTGACGAAACTACAGACATTGAAGGCGATATGTCGCCAATACCACCATCGTAACATTAGAAACTGATGGTCCCTGTACAACGATGTTATTAAATTCTGAAGTTTTGGACAGAGCAAATTACTCCACTATTTCAAAACTATTTGAAAAAACTATAAATTTATTGTGGCCTGGATGTATACAACATGATTCTGTACTGTTATTTTTGAGTGATTCTGCGCTGTATATGGTGAAATCAGCCGGTGCAATCAAGGCATTTTACTCTAAAATACTCCACGTTATTTGTTTAGCTCATGGATTACATCTTACAGTTGAAGAAGTGAGAAAATGTTGTCCGAATATGAACAAACTTATATCAAATGTTAAAAAAAATTTTTTTTGAATCTTATCACCTTGCTTTTTTTTAAAAATGAAGCACCTGGTCTGCCTTTACCGCCAGAACCCATCATCACCCGTTGGGGGACATGGCTAAGCGCTGCTATATACTATTGTGAAAACATAGAGCAAATTCGTAGTTATGTCAAGCAGATAAACCATGATGATGCAATTTCTATACAAATGGCTCAAGATATTTTAGTGGACAAATCATTAGATGCGAATTTAATATATATAAAATCTAATTTTGGATTTTTACTCGAAACAATTAAATGTCTAGAAAAATCGGGAGTTCCTTTGAATGAAACTTTGATTGAAAACACAAAAATATCTCTTCAATAATGTAACGGACAAAAGGGTAAATCTGTTTATGAAAAATTAAAAAAATTCTATCAAAAAACGAAGATTTCGATACACTAAATAAAATATCAAAAATTTTAAATGGAGAAAATGAATCAATTGAACTCTGCGAAGATTTATCCCTAAATGATATGAAATTTTATAAATACTCACCAATTACTTCAGCATATGTGGAGCGGTCATTTTCGAGGTATAAAAATGTATTGACAGACAAACGTAGATCAATGTCATTTCAAAATATTGCTAAAATGATTGTCATACAGTGCAATTCAAATTTAGGTAGGTACCTAAGTAAATTTCTTTTGAGATAAATTTTTAATATTATTGATTCTGATTTTTCCTTATAGATTAAAACTCAAAAAAAACGGCCAGGAAATCAAGAATCAAGGAATCAAGAAATTAAATAAAAATTATTTTTACAACAAATGTAATCATTTAAATTTATTATTATTATTTTATGGAAAATACATGAAATTTTTTGGTACATATTTTTTTTATACATGCATATTTAAACATTTTAGTCTATATATTAATGCATATTTAAGATTTTTTAACGCATATTTGGTAGGTTTTTAAGGCATATAAATCCGCGCTTTAGTCATCAAGAATAAATTCAATTGAGCATGCTTGCAACTAGAGGTCTTAATGGAACACGTGTTTTTTTGCATCCGTGTATCCGTGACACGGATTCACGGATATATATTTCGAATAAACACGTATTTCACGTGACACGTGAATTCCGTGATGACATTCACGTGAATTTACAAAATACTGGAATTCCGTGATTTATATTCACGTGATCCGTGATTCGTCTCATTTTTAAAGTTTTTATCGGTTTTAACAATAATGACTATAGTTGGATTAGATAGATATTACGTATAATCCCATCTTTTTCGATACCCAGTACATAATACTGTTAGTACTCATTTATTTATAAACTTACCAAAACCCTACATTTTATAAGTTATCTCTCATTGTACCGCATAACGTTTATGCATGTCGCATGTGCTCTACATTTTCTATTTCTATTTCTTATTCAGTATTATACTATTATATCCTATTCAACCGTAATCGGAGTCTCGTATATTTTTTAACTTGATTGAAAATTGAGACAAAAAAAATAACTTCTTGTAATGGGCAATAAAAAATCAAGTTGGGTTTGGCAATATGCAAAAAAGAAAGGAAATATTGCATACTGTCTTTTGTGTGATGAGAATGAAAATAATGAGTTTGTTTGCAATGGAGGTACAACAGGATCCATTGGGCGACATCTGGTGGCGATTCATTCCATGAGTAATGGAGTAAAAGAAAAAAGGAGGTAAATTTACATTATTATTATACCTAACCAAATATAGTACTGTGATTCACTTATTTTCGATTTCCGATTTATAATCGATATTGTCGTAAAAAAAAATTGTGTAGCTAAGAATTGAAAATGTAATACAAGGTAGTCCATAGTTTTGCTTACAATAATTGTAGAAAAAAATCTAATCAAACTAAACTGAACATTTTATAATTTATTACCTAATTACAATGATTGATCATATATCGAGATTTTGAACTATTTTGTCAAAATTTGAATTTTAAATGCTTATAAAAAAAAACTGTGCCTATGTATTTTTAATATTTTTCGCCTTCTATATGGTAACTATATATCAGGAGCATTTAATTACATTTTCACGATTTGTTTTTGAATTCCAACAAAATAAGGACATGAGAAATCGAGTGAATATCCAATATTGTAAAATTATGAAATTCAAACGATCATAAAAGTATAATTTGACTTTTTTGTAGACATTTTTTTTCCGATGAAGGTAGAAAAATTGATGAAGAATCTTGTTTTACATTTTAAAATCTTAGATTTAAAAAGAAAATTTTTTATGCATTTCTAATTAAAAATAATTTGCAAATTTTCGCGATTTTTACGTATTTTGTAAATATTTGAACTTTAAATGCTTATAAAAAAAATAGCGACTAAGGATTTTTAATATTTTTCATCTGCAGTTGAAATTATACATTAGGAGCCTTCTATAACATTTTCAAGATTTTTTACGCAACAAATAAAATGTTATTGATATTTAAAAAAAAACTTATACAATTTAAAAACTTAAAATATCCGGCATCAGTTCAAAAAAAGTCAAAACACTTTTAAAATGTATAACCCTGTATAGACAACGTCAATATAAACATTTGGTGAAAATTTCAAGTGTTTACAGTAATTAATTTTTGAGTTACAGTAAAATTAAATTTTCGTTTTTGTCGAAAATCGTTTTTGCGTAAAAATTCCCGTTTTTCCGTTACTTTTTTAAGGTTTTTCCCACCGCTTTTGAAAATTATTGGAAATTTTTCACTTTTGACCACCCAAAGTACCAACTAGATTCACTTTCCTTTCAGAAACGGTACTACTTTTGAAATCGAAACATTATTACTGCTCCAAATGTTGTCGTTAGAAACAAAAAAAAATAACTAAAAAACTAAAAAAACACATCATTGTAAAATCAATACATTCATCGCTCCGCTCAGAATCTAAAATAACAATAATTAATATTATAATCAAATATTTAATAATTGTAAGATATTCAATACCTATATCTAATAGGTATAAACTAAAATAATAGTGTAAATACTAATTAATATGATGGCTTTAAGAACAACTTATTAGAAACTTTGTATTAAACTTTGTATTTATTTAACAGACACATATCTGACTCAGAAAATGAGATGCTTGAGACTATAAATGACTTACAACCTATAACAGAAAATTTGAATAGCCAGTCTACAACCTCATTAAATGATTTTGACCAACCAAGTACTAGTTCTTCAAATATCAATTCTGATTCAACGTCAAATATCAATTTTATTTCAAATTCTCGAATTAGGCGAAAGCGCCAAAAACTTAATAAACAAAATACCACGTCAGATAAATTGCTTAGCCCTGAAAGAACTGAAGAAATTTATAAAGCTCTTTCAAAAATGATAGCTATGAACCAGATGCCTCTTTCATTTTGCTCAAGTCCGGGTTTTAAATACTTCATGAACGTTGTTGATCCTAATTATAAACCCTGCTCTGCAGAAAGTGTAAAAAATCGTTTAAAATTATTAACAAGTGACATAAAACAATTAATCAAGAATGAATTAAATGAAGTAACAAGTGTGTCATGTACAACAGATTGCTGGACTTCAATATCTCAAGAGTCATATATGACAATTATCTGTCATACTATCGATCAACATTGGAAACCAAAATCATATACATTGACAACTCATGAAGTTAGTGAGCGACATACAGCCGTTAATTTAGCACACCATTTAAAAAAATCACTTATAGAGTGGGAAATCGAAAAAAAAATTAGTTCAATTGTAACAGATAATGCAGCAAATGTCATCAACGCTGTATCACAGTTAGAATTAAACGATAACATGGAAAAATCTGGATTAACGTGTGCAGCACATTCTTTGCAGTTGGCTGTTAATAAAACTCTTTTGGACGATGAAATTCAAAGTGTTTTAACAAAATCAAGCAAAATTGTGTGCCATTTTAAACATTCATCAATATCAATGAAGAGTTTGGAGAAAACACAGCAACAACTTAATTTACCAAAATTAACTCTTTTACAATATTGTAAAACGAGATGGAACTCTAGCTTTTTAATGCTAGAAAGACTGTATATTAATAGAGCACCTATCACAAATGTTCTCGCAGATCGTAATATAACAGCATCTAATATTGCCCAAAAATTAGAAATTACAGAGTCTGAATGGTTAATTATTGAAAAATTATTGGTACTTCTGAAACCATTGCAAGCTCTCACTACTTTATTTTGTGGAGAATTAGAATCTTCTGTTTCAATGGTACGACCTTTAATTCACAAAATTGTAACTTCCCATTATGAACATAGTATCGATGATGACAATATAACGGAACGATTTAAAAACAAAATTTCATATCAACTGACCACGCGTTTTGAATTGACATGGAATGAAATTGTTACTGCAAGACACGTCGCTTCTTTTCTAGATCCAAGATATAAAGATATGGATCACGAACCCGTAAGAGCTAGAGAGATAATCCGATCACATGTCTTGCAGCTCATTGAATCAGTTGCCCCAACTACTACAAATCTTAATGATACAGAAGAAAGCGATTTGAAAATGAGTAATGTGTTAGCATTTATTTACAAAGACCATACTAATAGTACAAATGATGCATCTACACAGTTTACGGGATATCTTTCAGAACCTCAACTTCGATTTGATTTAAATCCCTTAGAGTGGTGGAGAACACGAGAAGAAAAATATCCAGCAATAGCAACTATTGCCAAAAAATATTTAGCAATCCCATCTACATCTGCAAGTGCAGAGAGGTGCTTCTCAACGGCAGGTAACATTGTGAATCCAAAAAGAAGTTGCCTTCTTCCTGAAAATGTGGATATGTTGGTATTCTTATACCAAAACAGAAAATTATATTTCTAGAAATTAGAATTATAGACTATAGTTCTTGTTATGTTTAGTTTAAGTATTATTATTATTATTATTATTGGTTATATCCACCTGTGAATAAGGTTCATAATTTATATTAAACGTTTAATAAATTACGTTATTAATTATATTATTTAGTCTTCATTATTTCTGCAATTATAAATTTCTTTTATATAAACGTGTATTTCACGTGTAGGATTTATAAATACACGAAATTCACGTGTAGGATTTTTAAATACTCGAAATTCACGTGAATTACGTGAACTACGGATTACACGGTTTTCATCACGAAATTTTTAATTTCACGTGTACACGTGTATCCGTGTACACGGGTAATAAGAGCTCTACTTGCAACCGGTGCGCATCACCAGTAAGACCCGTTCCCTACACAATACATAGAAACTTAGACAAGTATATAAAATAGATAAGCCACTCCGGTGTTAAATTGTTGGACCGTCATAACTGCTCCCGGTGGTTGTATAATGAAGCTAAGACAGCGCGACCATCGATAGTTATTATTATCGATAGTTCTCATTATCGATAGTTCTCATTATCGATAGTTCTCATTATCGATAATTACCGTTATCGATAGTTTAAAACTTTAAAATATATATATATATATATATTATGATTTATGTTTATGTATTATAATAAAAAAACAATTTAATTGAAAATGAAATATATATCTTTATTTTCAAAAACAACACGAGAATTACAAACAACAACCAAAAATTATAATTTAAACAAAGAAGAATACTAAATTACTATTTTTAATAAGCTGAAAATATTATGAGAATAATATAATGATAATAAAATCAAATGGTAAAAGTACAGTTAATTACAAAACAATAAATGTATAAATTACATATTTTATAGTTTTATCTACATGATAAAATTGTATTATTAATAATAAGCAATTAAAGAAACAAAAAACATTTTGAATTTAATATGTAACAAAAAAGTTAATAATTTGGTTTATATAAAATTATAATAATAATTTTTTCAACAATAATAATATTAAAAAAACCATTTATGGTAATAGGTTATATTGACCTTGAACAATTTTTTTTTTTGAGTGTTTTAAATACCATGTATTTGCAAATAAAAATATAGGGTCATTTTCATGTTGTCGTATCTTGCGTTTTCCCGTTAAAATTCTATTTACTTCTGTACACCAATGATTAATTATTAACTCTACAATACACTTTACTATTTTTTTATTGAAATCGGTTTCATGTTCGGAACAATGAAGAATATCAACATTGAACTTTGTTAATATATCTGCGACTAGTGTTTGTCTCAATTCTGAGTGATGACATATTGTAGGCAGTATTTTGCTGGTGTATGAAATTATGTCTTGAACTAGATATTTGAAAGTAGCAGCTGGATATTTCAAAGATGGTCTTAATGATTGATATTCCCTTGCTTCAATTAATGCATGTTCATTAAGAGCTTTATCACTACATAGTTGTTGTAAACAAGTTTTACAGTTTTTAAAAACACATTTGTTAAGTTTTCTGATTATATATCCAGCAATGTAGGTATGCTTCAAATCTCTTAAATCTTTAGTAGTACTAGTAGATTCAGCTACTTGTTTATCTGGGAAATTAAATTATGTGAAAATTGGTTTAGGATGTTCCTGTTGAAATGAAAATAAATTTTTATATCTCATCAGACTGTCTTCATTGAACTCTTCGCAGTTTGCTCCTGGAGAATGTGAGGACACCAAATTGTTGAGAAGTAAAGTTTTATATGCTGAAATAAATGGACTGCAAGTCGGTTTTGAACAACCAACACTTTTTACAGAACCAAAGAAACATTCCAATGAATCTTGGTTCAGATGCCTGGGGAGTAACGATTTTATTCCTTTATTCCAAAGAATTTTTGACAGTGTTTGAAAACCTAAAAAATAGAAATTAATAATTACATTACTATAATTATTAATAATTTCACATGTTTTAAATTAATTTACCTCTTATTGTTGTTGACCAATTTTTAAGTGTTGGTACTTTAACTGCTTTTCCATTCTTTCCAATAAATTTCATTGTTGACTATATTTTTAAACTCTCTTGCCAAAGTTTATGGTGAACGGAATTTTGTTTAACAGATGTTCTATAAATCTTGCCGTCTACTTGCTTATCAAATGAACCATTCAAGGAATCGAACAGCTTGTCAAAAAATAAAAAGGCAGCTGCCGTGTCAGATGCTTTTGAGTCAATAATATTTTTAGCTAGAAATAAAAATCTAATTAATTTCTAATGATTGAATAATAGTTAAGATGGAAACTTACAAGCAAGAAAGTTCATAACTGCAGATACCCGTTGACTGAACACTTGTGTGGCAAATCGTACCTTCATTTTTGGTACCTTTTCCGGTATAACATGGTTGTCAGTCAAACGATGAAGCATTTTACAGTCAGCTATGAGACTGTCAGTATCGTACAATTGTCTTAAATGATTCCATTTCGCAACTCGTTCGACCCCATCAGTAGAAAAGCATAAATCTTTTGTCATAAGATTATTTCTAGTACATTTCACAAGATGGGGTACATCAAACAAATGCACAATAGGAATGCGTTCCACACCATCATCAGATTGTATTTCAATTTCATAAATGTCATCTCGGTAGTCTTTTTGATGTTTTGAATAAAACAATTTGCTTTCATTTTTCAAAATATTTATGGCACCTTCATTTGCACATCCCTGATCACATATAGTGGCAACCACACGCAAACCAGTGGCTTGGACTTGACAAATTACCTATTGAAAACAATTATAGTATAATGTATATCATTTGAAAATTAAGAGTGTATCATTACTTCTCTCAATTGCCGCACAAGTTCATGTTGTTTGGTAGCTCCTTGGCAAAATGTATAAGATACTGGCTGCTTAAATTTCTTTTTAATTCCACGAATCATAAACACAAGAGCATGATCAGCAAGTAATTGACTCTTACAATCTCCAGAATCAACAAAACCATTAATAGCATCAGTGGTTGAATTATATTGCAGTCCACCATTCAAGCACACTTCATCGAATAGAATTGAACAATATCTACATAATAAATAAACAATAAGTACCTAGGTAATACAAATAAAATATTTAAATTATTTTGAAATATATTTTGTATATTTACCGCTCAATTGGCTTCAATTTCTGTACATTTTCTTTGAGTACACTCATGACAAGAGGGCAAATTCCAGGCCGAATGGATACCGTTGATAAAATTGTGTTAAGTGTCCTTTTACTAGGCAAAGTAAAAAGTTTGGATAACATTCCATAGCATTTAGGACTTCTTTTATATAATGATAGGCTTAACATTTTTTCATCAATACTGAATCTTCGTCCACGGCTTGCCTTATCTGTCTCTCTAACCTGTAGTTTCAGGAACAATGAAGTGGCTGCATTTATTTTATTCGAACATTTATCAATCAAATAATTATCATTCAGTTTTTCTGCAGCTTTAAGTCTGTCTTTAAAAAGACATTTTTGGCTCTTGGCACGTCTACATTTTTTTAACAGAATATTTGTTGTATTATACAGTTTCAAACATTTTGGAGTAAGTTGTTTTCTATGTTTTACACCAATACTACATAACAATCCTGCAAGTTATTAAAACAAATGTATGTAATAATAGAAATTAAATACCAAAACAGGTATTAATAAATATTAACTTAAAAAAAGAAAATATTACAATTACTAACCTATATCATTATTTGTCTTTTTGATCGCCCTAGCTTTTAATGAACTACTAACAACATTACTATTGCCAACATGCATTGACATTACATCACCATCATCTACATAAAGCATTCCATTGAGCATACCGAACATAAGCCATATAACTAATGTCTAATATAATTATAAAAGCTAGTAAATAATAAACTGAAACTTACTCATTAAACGCAGTACCGATGGGGAAACATTTAAATTGTTGCAATTGGAAGGTGTGTTTTCAAATTCATTTTCAAAAAGTTTACAACCAGATACATTTAAATCATTAACTTGGATCACAGCAGGAATTGAAGACATGTCCTCAGCTTTATCAGTCTTTAAGCTCAAATCTAATAAAAAAAAAAAATACAAAACCAATTACAATATTTTAATTCTTAACAGGTTGAAGTGCAATAAGAATGTTTTCGTTAAAAATACAAACCTAAATTTTGAACTTCAGAGCCAGATATATTAAGTTCAGCAACTTTGTTAATTTCGACATTTGATGTACTAACATTTGCTGGTACTGGTAATAACTGTTGACCTGGATTTTATAAAACAAATTAACATATCTGGTGTAAAGTCTACCATCTACTATACGTATGTCTATATGTTATACCTGGTAGATTCAATGTTGGATAAGCATTAGCATTGAGGCGTTTTGTGCCTGGACTCGAAAATCTATCCTCGAAATGATTACCACAAATTACCTTTTTTTGGTAAACAGATAATACATCACTTTTATCCAAACCAACGATATCAATCCATTGCAGAAGTCTTTCCATGTATTTGTTTGGATTTGGAAAACGATGGCATACTATACCTAATAAAATAAAATTGTGAGACAAAAATATTCATACCTATAATATGGTGTATGTAAATGGCACGAACGCTTTATGTGCATTTTTGTTTATTAACTGCTTTGCGTTGACGGGATGGCTGGTTTTAGTTTAGTAGTTAGGGGTGAGTGTGTCTTGCCTAAGAGACGGATATGGTCGTAGTTGGAGAAGGAGTTTAGGTAAAACATTTTTTTGGACTGGGATTGGACGGATTCGTGAACGGATTTTAGGAGGACAGAATTTTTAACGAAGGTGGGCATACCCATTATCGTTCGAATACCGATGTTTTGTACCGATTTTATGCGTCGCCAGTTCGACGGTTTGATAAAGGATGCCCACGAGGAGCCGGCATAGGTGAGGAGGGGAGTCACGTAGAGTTTAAGTATGTTGAGTTTCGTTTTCGTTGGAATGGGGCTCTTACGGTTAAGTGGTGGCATGTTTG